ATTATTATTATATAAATATAATTTTCTTATAACCTCCAAATTAATAAATTTTACTATAAAAAAATACTTAAAAGTTTGCTGCATGAATATTTTTTCTCTAGTATCTTATAATTTATTAAGTATTGAGAGTCAAATTCTCTTTTAAATATAATAAAAAAATCTTTTTAAATACTTTTTAGCCAAATATTTTTATGTCTACCACTCTACCTTTCTTAATATAAGTCGAATTTAATACATCTATTATAGTAATAAGGTTATCAAATATGACTCTTTTTAATCTTATCTACAACTAGAGCTACTCAATCTTTTCACATATATACTCATCTGACATTATATCTAAGTGTAAACTACTCTTCTAACTAAACATCCTCATAACTACAACACTTAAATTTATACTTTTTTTAATGGCCAACATTTTACGCTATAAAACATTTTAGGCCACCCTATCATCTAATAAAAATTTCCCTTAAATTGGATGGATAACAATCTAAATTTTTTAAAAAGCAACAAGAAAACAATAAATAGCCAAAAATATGATAACAATCTAAAAATTAATAGTGCAAAAAATACATTGAACAAACATTACAAACACTAATAGTAAACGCACCTATATACACTAAATCTCGCACCTAAGACCTTATAGTTAGAGCCAAAGATTCCAACCATAGACCAAGGAGAAACTATTCTGTGCGAACATCGGATCGTCTGGTTGGCTGCGAATCAGAACGTGCCATATCATTTAGCATATAACAGTACACAAATGCAATACACAACAAACGGATGACAAGACACGTTCTGATTCACCTCCAGACGTTTGTATCCGCACAGAATAATTTCACTAAACCAAGAGGGTATACATTAAAATTTTCATAATTTTGTGTCTTTAATATTTAATTACTCATCAAAACCTTTTGTATAGAGCATCTCACACAAACCAAATTCCCCATAATATGAGAAGATTATCAGATATTTTGAGAAAAAAAAAAAATACAATACCCGCACCACCTTTCACAAAACATTTTTTTCCTACCAAAAATTACCACCACCCAAAAATAGATTCTATATTATAGTCCTTTATAAAAGCAATTTTACACTTCTTGTAAAATAAAATAAAATTTTGAAAATTATTGTCTATTTTAAATTTTACCTTTTTATCTAAAATCATATAATAATTTTTTATAACTACCGCTCTAATAAATACATTTATTAAAACCCATTTACCATCATACAACAATAACAACAAGCCTTTATCCCACTATTTTGCTGCATGAATCCTTTTTCTCCATTATGTCCTGTTAAGGGTCAAATTCTCATCTAAATCTAATAAAAAAAAGTCATTTCTAATATTTTCTAACCAATTCTTTTTAGGTTTACCTCTACCTTTCTTAATATAAGTCAAATTTAATACATCTATCTAACCGGGTCATTGGAAGGCCGCCGTTTTATGTGACCAAATCATCTAAGGCAGCTCTCTCTAATCAATGTGAAAACTATTCATTGTACTCAATATCTAAGGAATACCAATTCTCACTGTTAACGGCTAAAAATTCACTGCAGTAGAAATGTTTAAGACAAGGAAAAAAACCCACTAAAATCCTCAATTTGATGCAGTAAGAATCTAAAGGAACAAGCTGCGACTTAAATGTTTTTGCAGAATGAAAATAGTAAATGAATTTATGTTGCTTGGAGGATATTTGTACTCCTTAATTCAAATCAGTTTTACCCCCTAATCCAAGAAAGTTTACAGGTTCAATACTCACAAGAATATGAGGGGCTTTCAGCTGTCTTAGAAATTTCCATCAGCACTGCAACAGATATTCTAATCCTTCCTCAGATCAAGGAACTCCTGTCGGATACCCGTTGCATTTACAACAATAATTTCTAACTTATCTCCCTGCAATAGTTGGAACACAGTAAAAAAATTAAAAATTAAGTAGGATTGAATTGTCTTTCAAAGAATATTACTGCTACCTAAAAAATTTTTACATACATACCACTATATTTCATGATATTTGCATATCTAACACGTAAAACTTTAATATTATATGCTTACCACACATAGAACAAATATGGGTGCATTGAATGAAATATTCAAGTTTATAGGGTGGTATGAGTGTTAAGAATGAAATGAAAGAGTGATATATTTGATATTAAAATTTTATATGAGTGGTAGGAATGTAATATTAAAATTTTGGGTGTTAGATATGTAAATAGCATGAAATAAAGTGGTATGTATGTAAATCCCCAAAAACTTTAACGCGAGATTATGGCATCTCTTGTAGCTCATACAATTGCAACTCATCTACTTGTAAAATGGATGAATATGAGGCGCCGAACATGATCAAATAAGTCGAATATTAGATCGGTTTATGCCTCAAATTGGACTTAATTGGATCATGAACTAGCCAAGCATGGTTCAAATAATCGAACCACGATGGCTCATAATGAACTAGCTCAAGCTCAAATCAAGATCTGGTCAACACGGCTATCAGACCGAATAAATATGAACAGTTATTGACCCAAGATCATATCGGTTTGGCTCGATTTCAGATCAGTATCAGTCCTAGATGATATCATGTTCAAGGGCTCTTGATCCAATATTGACATTTCTTTTCAGGGACAAGTATTACACTATTACTCTTCCAAAATGCTAACAAATAGAAATAAGATTGGAAAACATACAGTGTATATATCTCTTTCTGTAGCTGATGCAAACACATCTTTGACAAGATCAACTGCCTCAGACTCCGAGAGAGGTGTCACAGCATCCTGCTCAAAATTTTCTTCAAGTTAGAGAAACTAGGGCTTCATTTGGGACAGCTGACTTCCTGCTTATTAAAGCAGCTTTTTAGTACAAAAGTTTTAAATTTTGTACTTGAAAGCTGCTTTAAGAAGCAAGAAAAAAACCGTCCCAAACGAAGCTAGAACAGATTGAGAAACACAATTCTAACAAGATTTACTAGAGAAAAAATATATTACCCTAGAAGGTAATAACAAAGGACTAGGAGACTTAAGCTGGTTGTCTAAAACAGGCATGATAAGAGCTCCACCAGTTCCTTGGCAACTGTACCCCACCCTCTCATAGGATCCAACAGCATCATAAGAATAGACGCAACCCTTCCCTAAACAAGGAGGGCAGGAACAATAAAAAAAATAAAAAATAAAATTAAAAAAAATAAATTTAAAAAAAAAATGCAGCTGCCGGGCAGTGGAATGCATTGAAAAGTTTGGGGAAGAAGAACAGCATACCTTCGTTGTCAAGCCCACCTAGAATATTGAATGTATAGTAAGGGAAGAACCTTTTATAGTAAAGAGTATTTGAAAGAAGCCGAGCCATCGCAGGACAGCTCATTTGCTTGTTGTGTTGATGCTGATATATCTAGAAAAGAAGAGGTAAAAATCATAAAAAATATTCGTAAAAATATTATCCTGAAAGAGCAGTTGTGTTCATGTGAACGCAATCAGTATAATGTGGCCTTAAATATATATATGTTTCATTAGGCTAACCGCCAGTTGTATAACCAGAAAGCGATGATTCAAAAAGGGGGGAATATAAGAGAGAAATTTGAAAACATGTAAACCAGGAACTATTCGCCTGTAAATTTCATCAGTTTGTAAAAATAGGAAAATGTGTTTTGACGCAAAATTATTTCAATCTAGCTGCATAAAAATAAAAATAAAAACACATTATGTATTGAATTGCTAAGCAAATAATGCTTACACCATTCGCATAACTTGACATTAATTAGCAAACAGGTATGCATACACGGATGGTTGGTATGACAAGTGAGTTGCATATTTCAATATTAGAACATCCAATACACCTACACTTCTCCTCAAATAGTTATGCATTATTCGAAACGTCTCTAAGATGTGTCAAAAATGTTGAATATGCGTCCGATTAAAAAATATTAAAATTTCACACACGCGTCTCAAATATTTTATGAAAGATAGTATTTTAGGATTTCATGACAATGCTTGATGTCATCTCAACATCAACATCCAAAATTATCACAACATCAGCATTTCAAAACGATGTCAACATTGAAGTCTAACAGTCTTAACATAGATGCTCGATGCCAATAATTTCTACACTCAAAATCAAGCATCCACGTCGTCTCGACATCTCATTTTTTTCCAAAATCATCTCAATATCAACAACTAATGTCATCTTAACATCGAAGGTCATCACTATCTCCATCTCAACATCGACAACCAATGCCCATTGCAGGACATCCATGTTCAACTCTCGAGAGCAATATAGTCTCCCCTATGAATGCTTGAAATACAACATTGACGTTTGATTCTCAGCATCCTAATTTTAATTATTTTAAATCCAAATCCTAGTTAAATAACTTGTTATTTTTTAATTATTCATAATATTCTACTTATTCAATTTTTATACACTATTTTAAAGACATAAAAGTTATAATACCGTGACTAACCTGTATATGTGTCTTATATTTTCAATCATTGATGTGTCTCGTGTTTGTGTCTGTGACATGTCTGTATTGCTATGCTTGTGCTTGTGCATCATGGATTAGAATCAATTAATGAAATTATTGAAGTTGATAAATACATAACAAAAAGTTGTAATACCACAATTTCATAAAGATACTATTATAACCCACTTTCAGCATATCTGACCAAGCATATTTTTATAAAATTCTACACTTAGTATATAAAAAATATATATACATAAATATTAGCATATATGCCCTTATAAATTTAAATGCTAATTTAATAATATAACCCTAGTCAATTTAATAGCATTGTTTATTTATTTAATTTTTTGTAGCATGAACTAATGCTCAACACAATTGGCAAATCCATTTTCTACAACATGTAGTGTCTAATGAAGCATTTTATCGATCAAGATGGTTTAACAAAATAAGTTTATATTAAACAAATACTAATACATAAATAGACACTCTTAAACCTAAAGCATATTATTCCAATAACAATACCCGCACTAATGGCTCAGGAAAAAATCACACATCCAACTTATACTCATAAGATTGAAACAAGAACCAAAATATCATTCAACCCAAAAGTTCATAATTACATGACTCAGAGTAACTACTTATAGAATCCTATCAGTGTTATGTTTTTAATAACAACAACAACATCAAGCCTTTGTCCCACTACGTGGGGGTCGGCTACATGAATCCTTTTTCACCATTGTGTCCTCTTAAAGTCAAATTCTCATTTAAATCTAATAAAGAATGATCATTTCTAATATTTTCTAACCAAGTCTTTTTAGGTCTTCCTCTACCTTTCTTAACACAAGTCAAATATAATACCTCTACTTTTCTAACCGGGTCATCAAAAGGCCACAGTTTTATGTGACCAAACCATCTAAGGCGACTCTCTCTAATCTTATCTTCCATTGGAGCTACTCTAACCTTTTCACGTATATGCTCATTTCGTATCCTATCTCCAAGGCCACTCATCCACCTGAGCATCCTCATCTCTGCAACACTTAACTTAGTATTATACTTCTCTTTTAATGGCCAACATTCAAAACCATAAAGCATTGCAGGTCACACCTCCATCTTATAGAAATTTACCTTAAGTTTGAGGGGTACTTTTCTATCACACAACAAGCCCGATGCATTCATCCACTTCAACCATCCAACTTGAATTTTGTTGATAATATCCCCATCTATTTCACCATCACTCTAAACATTAGATCCAAAATATCTAAAATGTATACTCTTATTAATGACTTGATAGCCCAAACTCACAATCCCCTCACTAGGTCTATTACTACTAAAATTACACTCCATATATTCAGTTTTAGATCTACTCAAGCGAAAACCTTTAGACACTAAGGTTGACCTCCATAATTCAAGTATACCTTCAACTCCCTCTCTAGTCTTATGAACAAGAAGAATATCATTTGCAAAAAGCATACACCAAGGTTCATTATGTTATGCACATGATCATTGTTTGATATGACACCTTCAACAAGAAAAAGCACAAAGATTTCCCCTTAACTCTCTCGCTTTATGATATTGCCTCCTAACAAAATCACTCGTTTGTTTGCTTATTCTTTTATATGTAAGATTTTTTTTTTTAATTATTTTTTCTAAGATGAATTCTCAATCCTCCTTTATTCGATTTTTTTTTCTAAGATGAAGCTTGCTAGATTTTATTAAGATCCTGTCAGATTTTTCTTGATATATTTGTTTATGAGATGAAAATTATTATCTTTCTTTGTTTCCTGTCAAATATCATGCCAAAATTTTCATGACTGGTTTAGGATTACACTACTCTAATACAAGTTAAAGAGAACTAGATAATTGTAATATTCATTTGTCGTATGATGCTCATGTCATTATTAATAACTAGTAAATATAATTAGGTTCAAATAGCTCTATGAAAAACATTTTTTCATGTGTATGAACCCGTTAAGATAGAGTTTTTTTTTAACTATTTATATTATATTTTAGTAAACTAATTGTTTCAAATTAGGAAGCTTAGGGAAAGAGATTATTCAAAATAAGAAATGGATGCTAAATTTTCTCTAATATTTATTTGAGTGAAATAAAGCTTGATAATAGTCCCGTTACTCGCTTCAATAAGGATAAATGGAAAAACCTGAGTAAAAATTGTAATGAGGGAACAAGAATGGCAAATGATTGGATCCAACTAAATAATAAATGGGATAAACTCAAGAAGTGACACTTGTGGAAAGACTTGAAGTATAGCAAGATCAACCTAAGTTAGAATACAATAAAGAACATCGCAAATTCTTTGAATGAATGGTGGAATGAAAATTACATGTTAAACTCTTTCTATGCTTCTGAAATTATTTATTTCATTGAATTTATTGATGTTAGGATAATATTTAAACAATTGAATTTTTTACATATATGTGATATCAGCTGCTAAGCAATTTCAGCATAATGACATCACGTATGAGGGAAAGAAATACTTGATAGGATGTTAGCCGCATATAAAAAGTAGAGATGATGTTTGTGATGTGAAACCAGGAATTGTTTTCTTAAAGATTAATAAAGTTTGTTGGAGCAATGATAAAAATAAACTTTAAAGCTTCTCAAAATTGAAAACTCAAGAAAGATCTTAGAAGTAAACAATGCTTAGGCAATCCATCACAACAATTTGCAAGTTCTTTAAAATAACAACTTAAACAAAAGTAATGAAATGATTAGTCAACTAGAATCCGACGGTTAACAAAGCGATCGTCTCACCTTGAGGCTCAAAGTCACTCTTCTACGTCTAGGGTTGTCGGAGGAAGAAGAACCATACAAGAAACGAAATCACTCCGAGGTAGACGGCGCCGACGATCCGTAGTGATGGCGAGGGAGGCGGCGGCGGTGGAGGTGGGGAAGCGGGTGGATGTCCGGTGATGGTCCAATCGTAGTCTTGGAATTGATCGTCTATGACATCCACGAGAGTGGGAAGGATGCGGTTCAAATAATCTTCAACCGTGTCGTCGAAGCCAAATCTGACGTCGTAGAATGGTGAACGGGTGATGTGGATGTCTCCGTAGACGTCGAATACCAATCCACTATCAATCTCGGGATCCGTCATGCAACATTGGCTTGTAGATGAGAGAGCACAACAAGAAAAGCTAAGAGGGAGAGGGGCGGCCGGCTTGTGAGGCTAGAGGTGGGAGGGGATGGCTAGGGTTAGGGGAGAAAATAGTGATCCTCAATAAATCTGATTTTAATTTCAGATTTAAGTGATTTTGGAGGGAAAAGGTTTGAATTTCAATTTCAATATTAAATGGGATTAGGGGTTAATGTGGCAAGAGAGGGGATTTGCCCATGCATGGGGCCGGCGGCACCTAGAGAGGAGGAGGGGTGATTAAGGAGGTTTAAAGGAGTTTCCAAATGGAGCTAAGTGAATTTGGAGGGAGATCAATGACTCCTTTTGAATTTGAATTTCCACTTGAATGACGAGTGAAAATTTTCCTTATTTAGGGTCTCCAAATTAGGAAGGTATGAATCCCTCATGAAAATTAAGGGGAGAAAATCACGGAACTTGGATGAAGGAGAGAAAAATCAAAAGCACACAAACCTTGATTCTTCCTCTAATTGGACTCACAAAGAGATCAATGATGCTATCTCCTCAAGAACTCACAAAGACATCTAGAGGAGTTTCGGAACTCACAAAGAGATCAAAAGATAATTTTCATTCATCAAAAACTACTTCAAATACAATGACTAAGCCTATATATAGGTCATCCAAAAATAAAACCATAAAAACGACATTGCCCAAGGGCTACAATATGCAATAAATTCCTCATAGGGGTACAAATGAAAAAACATAAAATATAAATGACATGAATAAAATAAAACATCAAAAATAAAGACTATGAATCATGGCCGTCGCTCGACGACCCCTCCG